TCAAACCGGGCCACTTCTGCGAGCAGCTGGGAGAGTCTCTAGGATCAACCAGTTAGTGACCACTAGAGTAGACTGATCTGTACTAGTTTTTCTAAAATCCAAGGTGAGATTAAATAAGAGAATATAAAATAAAAGCCAAAATGACACTTTGATTTTTTGAAAAGTAAGAGGCGGTTCGGTTCACAATTGCTCCTAAAACGTTATCCTGCCTGTTAAACAGTGTAGAGTGCTGGACATACTCATTCTAGGCCCAGGGTACTTCATAATTTGGTAGCATTTAAATAAAATCAACTGAGTTCTACCAGTTAGTATGTTTCCTTTCATATTGTTGAAGATAAACTTGGATTTGAATGGCTATTTCATGCAGAATATAAATGTCTAAAATGCTTGGTGGTTCAACTAGTTACCCTGCATAACTATGGTACTAAGTAGAGTTCAGGGCATGATCAATTTTTGTTTGTGTAAAGAAAATTAATCCTGTATTTAGAACCAGTAAATTGTTCTCCCATGCTGCAATGATTTCAGTTAACTGAATGCCAGCCTAAGGAAGCATACAGCCAGGCAATAGGAAATCATTTATATCTGGTAGCTACAGCTGATATTATATAAAACAGCAGAAACAGGAACATGACAATGCATATAAATAACATGTCTCAGTCCTTACCCACTGTTAAGGTTTTTCTTTCTAGGTATTTTCAAGCATAGCTGCCTCAACTGAAGCTGAAGCTCGAATCTTTTGGCTTGGACTGATTATCTGTCCCATTATTTGGACAGTGTTCTCTTTTAGCACTTCGTTTTCCTTGAAGTTGACAAGGCTGGTAAGGATGAGGTAACTGCATCTGAGCTGGGGGTGATAAGTACAGTGAAGGGGACAGGAGCAGAAAAACAAGTCTATTAAAAACATAGGTTTAAGTTAGATTCCCTAGGAAGTGAGAATTTAAGTTAGAAGATTTCAATGACAGCTTCAAGAAGGTGTAGAGCAGGCTTCTGTTCCCAAACTGAAGTGAATCCCTTAGGCCTGGCACAGACTGTATAATTCCTTACTCTCCACCCCCACTAGGTTCTGGTCAATCAGCCCTTTTCTCCTAAGTCAAACGTTTCTGCTGGCAGCCACCACTGCAGCTTCAGTTCAGCAAACTCCACCTATGCAATACCCCAAGCTAAAAAGCTATTTGTTCCAGAGAAACCACTCTGCAGTTGGATTTCACTTTTCATAGAATCATAAAATATCAGGGTTGGAAGGACTACAGGAGGTCATCTAGTCCAACCCCCTGCTCAAAGCAGGACCAATCCCCA